TTTATATATATATATATATATATATATATATATATATATATATATATACTTTGAGATGAAAATTCTGTTATACAGGCCTGACACTTACATGAGAAACAACCCAGAAGAAAGTCATCTTCGGGTTCATCCTTTAATCAATGACATACGTCATTGACACTCTCCAACTCCTTAAAAGACCTTCGACACAAAGTGAGCGATTGGTTTGTAACATATGAGGTGCGATCGGAAAGTTTCAAGACTGTGTCAATAGAGGGTGAACCGGATGTAGTACGAGCTTCTGCTGCTAGGGGGTGCGGCCTACATTCATAGTGAATCAGTGTGCCAGCCGGCATCATCGAATTAGCATTTGTTTCTTAGTTACGGGCGTTTTGGTAGTGCATTACACCGACCCTCCTGCGATTTCGGAATGGCGTGTGCATCAAATTTTGCCAAAGACTCGCCAAAACGGCTACGGAAACCTATGAAATGCTAAAGCAAGCATTTGGGGAGTCCGCAAACTTTTGTGTGGCATTCACGTTTTAAAAATGGCTGAATCTCTGTCGATGATGACGAGCGTTCTGGACGACCATCTTCGAGCGCAACGCCCGAAAATGTTACGAAGATTTGGCAGGCCATTCACGAAGATCGACGTCGTACCATCAACGACTTGTGCGACATTTTTGGGATAGGCTATGGGACCTGTCAGCTGATTCTAAAGGAAGAACTGCACATGCGACGCATCCTGTCTGAGGCCCAGAAGCAGAATCGACTTCTCGTTTGTCAGGAGTTTAAAGATCTTGCAAGAACCGACCCCAACTTCCTTTCTAAGCTCCGTGTGACTTCTTCCTCTTCCCACAGATGAAAATTCAGCTAAAGGGAAGGAGATTTGAGACGATAGAAGAGATTCAGGCAGAATCGCAGATGGTGCTTGACAGGCTGACAAAGAAAGATTTCCAAGGATGCTTCCAGGCTTGGCAGCGGCGCTGGGATCGTTGTGTTCACTCCCAGGGGAACTACTTTGAGGGTGATGGATGAATTTAATACCTGAGATAAGTGTACGGGTTTTTATAGGCGCAGTCTTGAAACTTTCCGATCGCACCTCGTATAGAAAAAAAGTATGTGAGATGAACATTAAAAACTAATTTTATCACTGAGTATGCGTTGCTCAGGACAATATTTTAACCTAGGAGGTAGGAAGTAACAGTAGGGTGAGGAAAATTATGATTTTTATAAATTTTACTCATCAAATACTATTAGGATGAACAAATCAAGGATGATGAGTTGAGTGAGATGCTTGGGAGAAGTAACGTATTAAATTATTGTTGAAAAGCCAGGAGGAAAAGCATAGGTGGTAGGATAACATTAAAATGGATATTAAAGGAACAGCATGTGGACTTAATCATTATGACTCAGGACAGGGTCCAGTGGTGGTCTCTTACACATGGGCTCTGTAAAAGGCTTGGAATTTCTTGATTAGTCATGTGACTATCAGCCTCTCAATTACTTGGCTCATGGAGTGAGAAATTTGACTGAAACGCTAGATACTTTCAAAAAAGTTTTAAGAGGATGACCCATTACTTATTTGGAGGATAATGTGCTTACATACCTTGGGTGACTTCAGTTTTTATCGGTTTATTGGTGTAAATTTTTTTTATAGGCTTGGGAAGAAACATTTCGCAACTGGGAGGCATCTACAAAAATGCTGACATCATATCCCAAAACTAAAATAGAAGATGGTCAAGTGGAATCATTCCATCGTTCTGTAGGCAAACGGCGGGCTTCCCATCAGAACTCAGAACATGAACTTGAGGTGAGCATTGATTAAGCACTGATAATATGCTGAGAGAGGTTGAAATAAAAGAAGTACAGCAGGCAGTGATGCTAGCATAGGAGTATAAATTAAAGCTTCTATTTTAGTGGGACATTTCATTATAAAATTGAATCAGAATGTGCTTTCTGAGAGTGTCATAAATAGTAAATTGTAGATGGGCAGACATTCTCTCACTGTAAGGTATATTGTGCTGTATTATAGGTATGCTCTGTGCAACAAAGTTCAAGCACTTAATGTTTTAAAAGTTCAAAACCAGAAGTGGAATCATTGTATAACTGGTGTCATAATTCCAATCATTCATAATTTTGTACTTGTTTTGTGGTTTTTCTCAGCCATCCATTAATTACATTTATTTATGCTGCTATATGTCTGTTAAGCAAAGACACAAATATGTACGAGGTGCGATCGGAAAGTTTCAAGACTGTGCCTATAAAAACCCGTACACTTATCTCAGGTATTAAATTCATCCATCACCCTCAAAGTAGTTCCCCTGGGAGTGAACACAACGATCCCAGCGCCGCTGCCAAGCCTGGAAGCATCCTTGGAAATCTTTCTTTGTCAGCCTGTCAAGCACCATCTGCGATTCTGCCTGAATCTCTTCTATCGTCTCAAATCTCCTTCCCTTTAGCTGAATTTTCATCTTTGGGAAGAGGAAACCTTAGAAAGGAAGTTGGGGTCGGTTCTTGCAAGATCTTGGAGCTCCTGACAAACGAGAAGTCGATTCTGCTTCTGGTCCTCAGACAGGAGCCTTGGCACAAACTTGGCTGCGATGCGTCGCATGTGGAGTTCTTCCTTTAGAATCAGCTAACAGGTCCCATAGCCTATCCCAACAATGTCGCACAAATCGTTGATGGTACGACGTCGATCTTCGTAACAGTTTCGGGCGTTGTGCTCGAAGATGGTCGGCCAGAACGCTCGTCATCATCGACAGAGGTTCGGCCATTTTTAAAACGTGAATGCCACACAAAAGTTTGTGCACGACCCATTGAGGACTCCCCAAATGCTTGCTTTAGCATTTCATAGGTTTCCGTAGCCGTTTTGGCGAGTCTTTGGCAAAATTTGATGCACACGCCATTCCGAAATCGCAGGAGGGTCGGTGTTTTTGAGGAAAAATATTAATTAATCTTAAATGACTCATCTGAGATGTGACTAATCCCCTCAGCAAAATGGAGGTGAAGACTGTATTTCTCTTTCCATGGTAGAGAAGTCAGTTGGGTATGGGACTAATGTAGTGACCTCCATATATTTGAATAATACAGAGCTGCACAGTTTAATTGAGTATTTGTGCAAATACAATCTCTACATTAAAAAGGAATCATGTATCAGTATCAGGACTCACACTTGCAAATGTGGTCTCTTTTTATCAATGCTATCCCCCTACTGACCAACTTGTCTGTGAGGGAATACAGATGGCCGAGTGAAGTATAATCTTCGTCTCTGTTTAGCTGTGGGGTTTAGTCACACCTCAGAAAAGTTTTCTGTTAATGTATATTTTCCTCCAAATTAGATATATTGCTTATCTGCTTAATAGACATCTAGCATGAATAAATTCCAATTGATGGAAGATAGAGAAAAGTCACATATAGACTAATACAAATACATTATGAATAAATGGAATTATGACACCAACTGATTGTATCATTCCTGGTCTTGGACCTAGAAAATTTTAAGCACTTGATTTTTGTTGCATCGAATGTGCAAGGTGCCTAAATCATTTTGTCCACACAGCAAGTCCATTGCTTGAATGTTGTGCTTAAGTAATGGCTTTTATTGTGTAATGAACATTTTCTTCTTTGTGAGAATTTCTTTGGGCACATATTTTGACAAATACTCTTTATCTTGTTATTATCATTTATTTTTATTATAAATATTCATGCTAAATATGTAAATGTAGTTTCAGATTATTGCATTTTGCCTGAGCGTAAAATTTATTTTTCCTAACATTTACTTTACCATATTACATGTTGAACAAATGTACATATTACAGGATCAGATCAATGAATGGGCCAATATGACTGGTTTTCTGTGTGCACTTGGAGGCGTATGTTTGCAGCGTAAATCTCCATCAAGACCATCTGCAGGTTTGGGCTTACTTCCTGTGCCAAGTCTGGAATCTCGAAAATTGGCCAACTCTAGTCAGGATGTACAGTATTGCCCTGTTACGCAGTAAGTTTATTCATTTGATAAGAGAGTGTCCATTCACTTACAGAAGTAGGTCTTAGAATGCATCAGACTTCTCCATAATTCATGTTGTGTAATGGTATGGTGTATAATTTTAAATTATCTTGGTCCAAAGACATGTTAATGTTTTCACAGTACTATAAATGTTTTATTAACCCGTCGACATGGTGGTTTAAATACCCCGCATATACCGCTGTCGTGCTGTTCCGGCGGTAGTATTTTTTAAATGCCCGTTTAAATTTTGCTGTAAAATACTCTTTTTTTCATAACTTTTGAACTATATGAGATATAATTATGAATTTTTCACTGAAATCCTCTTAAAAGATGGTTTTATAATCTTACCTTATAAGATGAGATGTGTGAGCAGTGAAAGCAAGTCGATTAGAAGTTTAGTTTCAGAAAAAACCGGAGTGTACACCAGCCGGTTCTTTGAATAGTAAGATCTAAGTGTAGGCTTTTGCACAATGCCCATCAACATAAATAGAGCCAA